GGCACCCTGATTTTCATGTTCTTCTCACATACAGAATAATTATATCCCAATAGCCCCCAAAGTTTTAACTCATTCTAGGATCAAATTTCTCTCCAGCTATGAAACTTTGAAATCAAACGAGCTTGTATTTTCAAAATACCATGTTGAGACATAGGACAAATATTCTCATTCAAAAAAATACATAGGAAAATAAGTAACATGCCACAAATACCCTGAAACAACACAGGACAAAAAATATTCTGTCTTAAGGCTGGAGAGTAATCTTTGACTCCACATCCTGCTGCCTAAACACAATGGGGTGGGAGATTGGAGCGCACGCGCCCTACAGTGAAAATCTCTCAAAAAAAAAAAATACATAGGAAAATAAGTAACATGCCACAAATACCCTGAAACAACACAGGACAAAAAACATTCTGTCTTAAGGCTGGAGAGTAATCTTTGACTCCACATCCTGCTGCCTAAACACAATGGGGTGGGAGATTGGACCTCCAAAGCCTCAGGCAGTTCTGTCCCCACAACTTTGTTATTTATTTATTTATTTATTTATTTATTTATTTATTTATTATTATGTTACAGTTTTATTCAGTGTGCATGTGTGTTTAATTGGAGGCAGTTATTACTATTTTTTTAGAGAGGTTTTTCCTATAAGGTGCATGAGTTCACTGGAGAGACACACAGAGAGAGAGAGAGAGAAATCACCTCCCCCCCATAGGGGTGGCCATGCCATTGGGGACAGCCATGCCACAATCCTTGCTCACAAGTGTGTAGTGTTAGTTTTGAGCCGCTGGGTCCAGGTTGAACCGTAGTTGGTCATGTTCAGTGATCCAAACATTATGCCATCTGCCGATCCCAATTAAGAGAAGTGGTAGAATTTACTTTTTCTAAAATTTTTACATTACTTTTATATAGATCACGTCTGTTTTTCCTATTTCCATTTATTTTACATGTAGTTCAGTATTCTGTTTTTTTGTTCAGTTCTGCCTTTTTTACTGAATAGTTTTCTTAGCAGACAACAGCTGGTGGTGGCGGGAGGATATTCCTCATTTTCCCTTTTCCTTTATGTCTCCAGTTCAAGTGCAATTTCCTCTTCTCTGACTCTCCCTAAATGAAGCGCTGGATTGCGACTTTCGATCCTGCACATTCTCAAGCATCTTCTCTGTCACCAGTTCTGGGAAACATCTATATTTTGGCACTTGATGTTAGACTTTCTCTTTAGGAGAGTGACATTGCCTGTGCTTGGCCACGTGCATCTCTTTGTTCTATTCCTTTTTGATGAAATCTTGGGTAGGCAGTGGGGGCTCCGAGGAATTACAGGTCGTTTGAAGATGATAGCATTTGGTTTCTTAGTTACGTGGAAGGTGAGAGTTATGTATAGTGACGTTTGTGCTTCTTGCAGGTTCTAGGTAGTTTTTCATCGGTTTTATATTCATTTATAGGCTGTGGGGTAGAGAGGAGATGGTTGTGTAGGATATAGAAAATCAGGTCACTGCTATTTCTTTTTCTGCTACAAATCCAGAAGTTTGATTTTTATTTATTTTTTATCTTTAGGAGAGTATGTAACAGTTTTTTAAAATTAAACTTTTTTTATTATTCACATAAAATCACTATACATAATTTAGATTGTGAAGAGTTTTTACCCAGCATGATATACACCTCAGTCCAGCCCAGTTGAGACCACCATACACATTCCCGTCAACAGCTTTGATGGTCACAGCCTGTATTGAAGCTCTCATGCACTGCAACTGCATGCCTATAGCCGTGTCAAGTTGGCGCTGCATTCTGGTGGCTCCACGGTTCTGAAGTCTAGAAAGTGACCCACTCCTCTGACTCCATCAAGCATTTTGTTAGTGGCTAATTCCTCTGATTCCACAGTTCTGTTGGGCCTTGTCCTAGTGGAGGCTCTTTGGCAGCTATGGCCCTTTAGCAAGTTTCTTCCCAGACTTGAAACTCTGATGTCTTTTTTCAAATCTAGGTGGAGGCAGCCATACCTCCACAGCTTGTGCACTTTGTACCTGCAGAATCAGCAGAATGCTGCCATGGCTCGCCACTTGCACTCTCTAGAGTGGAGATCTGAACTTCATTTGGGTTCCCCTGAGTCACTGCTGGGACAACAGAGGAGTGCTGCATCAAAATGTGAGCAGAAGAGACATAAGATCGCCCTGTGCAGTGAGTCCCAAGGTACCACGGGCACTCCAGGTCTGTCCCTTTACATATTTCTGCCCTGAAGACCCTAGCATTTTGGACCTATGATGGGAGTGGCAGCATCAAAGATTTCTGAAATGCCTTTGGGGTCATTCTCTTATTTTTTTGATGAATAGCTCCTGACTTCCTTCTATCTATAGTAATATCCTTATAAAATGGTAATCTGGCAATACTCTTTGTTTTCTCACCTAAATGTGCTTTTAAATTCTTTACATGGCTAGATTGAAATTTTTCCAAATCTGTACATTTTGTTTCTCTTTTGATTATATTATTTCATCTTTAAATCAATAGTCTCTTCTTGCACTTTCCATAAGCAGCTAAGAGAAATTACACAGTATCTTGAATGCTTTGTCGCAAAGAGATTTCTTCCGCCAAATATCTTGGGCGAGGGTGGGGCATTTGGGGAGGTGTCTGGGTCATGAGAGCTTCATTCTTATGAATAGATGAATAATCCTATAAAAAATAAACTTTGTAAAGTAGGGTTGATTTAATATTAATTTGGTAAACATTGAATGCCTACATGTGTCAACCCTATTTTATAAATGAAGCTCTCAGATGTTAAGGATCATCTATAATCATACAGATTATCTCATATTGATTAGATGCTTTGAGTGATACATTTAACTATTTCATAAAAATGAAGGATATTCATCGATAAATATAATTTCTGATAATCATTTAAAACATAGGGAAGTAATTATAAAGTTTCCTGGATGATGGAACAACTGTAATTCACCTCTTCATACCAAATAATGTTTTTCCCTTTCTTTTTGTTTTCCATCACTACCACTGGGGGTGCTGAAACCATGAAGAAGGTTGATGGGAACTTTACACTGGCTAAATTAATCTCACAACAACTGAAGCTGCTGATCAATCTTAGTATCACTTAATGTGGGACAGCCAAACATGATGCATCTCCTGATGAAATGCAATAGAAAATACAAAATACAGTGAGGTATTTTACCAAAAGACCAAAACCTGAATCTAACCAAGTTTCTACATCTAACTGTTTACAGAAAATACTGGGATGAATAAATATGTTACTGATTCTACAGCATGGTTAAGGTAGAGATCCCAAATGACTGACCATGAAGTTTGCAGTCCTGGGAGCTTGGGAAACATGGTGTGTGTGTCTGTGTGTGTGCGCGCCCAAAATCTTGAAGGGAGCGAGAGATAGAGAAAAAGAGATTGCAGTGAGACTATTTCTCATGGGGGATGCTTTGTCCTATACCAATTTATCTGTATGGCAAGTACATGTATGCTCTAGCAAAAAAAGAAAAAGACTCTATATTTTGATAAATTCAGAATTAGAAAATTCTATAGATGACTTATTTTTTTAAAATCCATAAAAAAAGAGGCTGTTGGGAACCAGCAGTTAGCATAATGGCTATGTCGCTGGACTCCCATGTAGTTGACCATGGTTTGCGTCCCAGACCCGGTGGCTTAAAACTCACGCCGGGGGCATGTGCGTGCGTGCCCAAGATCCCGAGAGGAGAATGGAGAAGGGATTGCGGTGTGACCATCCCCCTTGGGGGGTGATTTCTCGCTTTCTGTCTCTCTGTTTCTGTCTGTCTGGCGAGCGCACGTGCCCTATAGCGAAAACCTCTCCAAAAAAAAAAAAAAAGAGGCTGTTGGGAACCAGCAGTTAGCATAATGGCTATGTCGCTGGACTCCCATGTAGTTGACCATGGTTTGCGTCCCAGACCCGGTGGCTTAAAACTCACGCCGGGGGCATGTGCGTGCGTGCCCAAGATCCCGAGAGGAGAATGGAGAAGGGATTGCGGTGTGACCATCCCCCTTGGGGGGTGATTTCTCGCTTTCTGTCTCTCTGTTTCTGTCTGTCTGGCGAGCGCACGTGCCCTATAGCGAAAACCTCTCCAAAAAAAAAAAAAAAAAGAAGAGGCTGTTACATATTAAAAACAGTCTGAGATGTATCAGCCAAATGTATGCAAACGTGTTAATTCTGTTTGGACTGTGAACTGAAGAAACATACATAAAAAAACTTTTTGATCCAATCGCAGATATGTAAATGAGGACAACTACAGATGATATTATAGAAAAAGTATTTTATTCTTAGAAACATACTCTAAAGTGTTTATGATAAATAACAAAGTGCCTGAGATTTGCTTTAAAATCTCCAGCAGGGGTGGGCGTGACTGTGTACACATGCATGTTAATGTGTGTATAGATGAAACAAGATTGGTAAAATGTTGATAATTATTGATGTTTATGATTCATACACAAGGATTCCTTATATACTAGTCTCCATATCTAGATATATTTGACATTTTGTAGAATAAAAAGGTTATAAATGGCTGTTTTCCCAGTATTTTACTAGTCATACAAAGCACCTGATTATTCCAGTATATATTGGTTACAAACTTAGTATTAGAAGGCAAAGCAAAACAATTAGTCTTCTTTTTCAATGGAGACTCCAACATTTTTTTTTTTTGAAAGGTTTTTGCTATAGGGCGCGTGCACTCACCAGAAAGACAGAGAGAGCAGAGAGAGACAGAGAGATAGAAAGTAAGAAATCACCCCCTTGGGGAATGGCCACACTGCAATCCCTTCTTCTCCATTCTTTTCTCGGGATCTTAGGCCTACACGCACACACATTCACCATGAGTTTAAGCTACCAGGTCCAGGACTTGAACCGCGGTTGACTACATGGGAGTCCAGCGACATAGCCATTATGCTAACTGCTGGTCCCAACACTCCAAAATTTAAGAAAGCTTTTTTGCTTTGGAAAAATAAAGAAAAACAAAAACAAAAACAAAACCTTTACTGTGTGTAAACTTTATTGCCAGAGACAAGTATTTTTACCAGAGAGCAAAAGACAGAGACGAAGAGAGAAAGAAAGCACCCCTGTAACAGAGCGTGATCTTCCCACATTCTTTTTCCATTTCTCCATCCCTTCAAGATGTGTGTGCATGGGGTCCAGCTTTCTATGCACAGCTTTTAACTGCTGCACTACAGGGCTGGTCCTGCTTTGGAGAGTTTTAGAGTCTATTTACCTGAGTATTAAGAAAGCTTTATTCCAATTGTCCATCTTTTCTCCATGCATTAGAAACCTCAAACTTTTTGCTAATCAAAGAAAATTGTTCTGCAGTGGACAGGGTACTGCTTCTTTACATTCAGTCTTAATTTACTCAATGTGGCATTTTATAGAGTGCATGGTAGTTCTATTAAGTTACAATCCATCACTTTATTTTAGTAAGATAAATAGTCCCAAGAATCCTTAATGTGAATATCTCATTTATAAAATGCATATTCCTTTAAGGCATAGACTTTTACCTCATGTAACATAGATTAAAACATACTAAAAAATGTGCTTTATATTAGGTACTTTTTATATCTGGCCCAGTTCCTGGGTATTTCTTCCCTTTAAATGTATATTTTTTCTACTTGGTAACAAAAAATTCTTCTAAAATGTGGAGGAAGATGCACATGATCTGCAGCAACAACTAATCTGACTGTACCTATACCTGCAACTTTCATCTGTTTTGAAGCCAAGTGAAAATGTCATATGTAGCAAATATTAAAGGTTACAAACATTGAAAAGGAATTAAGACTCAGATTACAATGTCCTATTGACATACTAACTCAGGAATGTAGATCAACCCTTTTATAATATTTTCATGGTTCTCATTTTATGTATGTATGCTTTGACAATGGAAATGGAAAAATGGATTATGACCTTCTGTTGTTAGCCATTATTTTATTGTTTATTTAAAATATATAGCAATTATTTTTAAATATTTACATAACAGCACATAAATGCTTAGAAAGGCAGTATTAGCAATAGGTCCCATAAACAGAGACATCTAATAACCTGCTTCGACTGAAATCATTGCTGCTTCTTCAGAGCGATAACAGCATAACATCTGGGAGATTTCACAGGATCAAACAACTTCACAAGTGCAGACCATGCAAGATCTTCCTGCAAATTGATAAGTAATTTAGATAGACAACCATTGTTGAAGAGACGATATACTTTAATATGAAAGCTACGTAAAAATTTATATGAGAAAAAATTACTCTTCAATAAAATTAACACTTAGATTTTCACCTTCAAAAATTTATGCCGAGGAAATATTTTAAAATGTACAGAGAGAGAGACCAGCTGATGGTGTAATGATTACATCACTGGACTCCCACATGGCCAACCGCAGTTTGAGTTTTGGACCCAGTGGTTTTAAATTCACACCAGGAGCATGTGCATGCATGTCCAAAATCCTGAGAGGAGAATACAGAAGAAGGGATCATGGCATGGCCACCTCTCTAGGGGCTGATTTCTCACTTTCTGTCTCTCTGGCGAACACACATGCCCTATAGCAAAAGCTCTCTCTTAAAAAAAAAATAAAAGTACAGAGAGTGTGAATTACAACCTTAATATTCTCTATGATCATGAAAAACTGGAAGATCTTGATAAAAACAGAGTATTGGTTAAATAAATTATTTTATAATAAAACATTATTCACATTTTGCAGGATATTTAATGAGATGAGAAAATCCTAAATACATGAAACAAGTGCAATATATATATATATATATATATACATACACACACACACAGTGGACTACAGACACACACACACACACACACACACACACACAAACGTTGATTTCATTTTAAAGTGTAAATAATGTGTACATACATATACAAGAGATGTACATATATGTGAAAGAATCACTAGAAAATGAATCACAAACTTAATAGTTAATGCTGAAAGATGGGATTGTGGTTATTTTCAATGTTCTTTTATATTCTCTTCTGTATTTTGAATATGCTAATATAAATATATATTTATAATAATATTAGAAGTATTATATAAATTTTATGATTTCACTACAATTTATTAATCTTGTGCATAACATTTTGCCTAACTTGTATTTAGGTCACTGGAAATGGTTTTGAAAATGGAACTGAGTATTTTTAAAAAAAGGTACTGATCTGTTAACTACCAACTTGGAAACCAAAGCTTACTAGTGATTTGGAGATAGTTGGCTGTTTAAGAAAATATATTAAATATCTAAAAAATTGTCTTCTTTCATAAAAGTATGAATTAGAACAAAGCAACAATTATTGAAATCCATTTGTTCCAAGTAGGCTGTTGAAAATTTTCATAAAAATATGATTTAGAATAAAGCAACATTTATTAAAATCCATTTGTTCCAAGTAGGCTGTTGAAAAGAAAAAGTAAAGCTCTTGGTGATAAAATAAAATTGTTAGAATAAAAAATTTACTGTAGAAATTTTAGGTTGACCCCATGAACGGGTTTAATGAAACAGTTCACAAAACTTTGTTTTAATCACAGTTGGAAAGGTCTGCATGAAATACTTTCCCTAAAGATAACCCAAAGATAGTATTTCTGTCATTAAACATAGATAAAACAAATAAGAATGTGAAAAAGCCCAAAGTAATAATATTCATTGATCAGAAAGAAATTTCTATACTGCCTATATTGCCACACATGCATGTATGCAAAAATCCAAAAGTGAATGAAAATGCAAACTTCCAAAATAAAATGCATATTCAATACATTTATGTCTGGCCTTTATTAATTTTAACTATACAATATGTCATATATAGTTGTTTGTGCTCACTATGTATAGTAATTAGCATACAATTAAAAGAATGTAAACTTTATTTAAGCAGCCTTGCTGAAAACATCTGTTGTACATATGTTTATATGTTTACAAAGAGATGAAATGAATATTTAAACTATAAAAGCTCAGTGAGAAATATTATTTACTATTTTTATGTAAAATATCTTAACCCAGATATACTATACTATATTAAGTAAAGATTTTTCCTATGCATTTTAAAATAACATAATTTACCTGCTCTTTCAGGTAGCAAAGTCGATCCAGAAGAATTAATGTTTCTATACAAGGAGCCAGGACAACTTTCAACTAAAAAATAAAATAAAATAGGATGGGTAATAGGTTCTTTTCTTAAAAAAATAACTGGTTTATTTCTTTAACACTTAAGTTTAAGAAAATATATCTACATGTCTACAGAAGTTTCTATAGGCCACATCTTTAACCAACCCATTGTATATCTTCACAGAACGAATACTGCAGAGATCAAAAGGTTTTCTTTAATAATAATAGAAAAAGAATACCCTTTAAGTGACTTTGAGGTAGAATCCAACAAGCAATCATATGTGATAGAAAGCTTTTAAAGGGGTACTAAGAATGAAATTCATTAAAAGGAATGCTTATGAAGTAACTGCTCTGAGACCAATATGTGTTCAAAGGATTCTCAAACTTCTTTCTGTGCATTTATAATAAACTTTAAGAGAAATCTACCATGTGTTCTCTTTATTACATTACTGACACCTAATATAGTTCCAAAATAGGAAATGATCCAAAACAGTTTTTCTACAAAAGAAAGAAAAACAACATAGATTGGTTGGTCCCATAATAAAATTTAATAGGACCCTATTCAAGTCTAGTAACATATCAAATTTAATATATTTAATTCTGTGATTTACCATATTAAAAGCTTCCAGCTCATTCATTCTAGGCTTATACTTTTCGTAGTAATCCATTATGACTTTTTCTGGCAGCTTCAAGATAAAAAAGAAAAAAAGAAAGGAAAAGAAAAACAACAGTAGTTAATTTAACAATATTAAAAAATATTTTTTAATCAAACATACCTAAAAGTAAACAAATATGACATTTTAATTTTTAACTTAAAAAAGTACAATGACAAGTAAGCCTTTTCTCATCTAATTTCTCATGGAGACCTTTCAGAAAAGGTCTCTTCCTTTGTGTAGAATTTATGTCAGGGCCAGCAGGGGGTATGGTGGTTAAGGGGGGTGATTTCTCACTTCCTCTCTTGGTTTCTCTTGGGCGAGTGCACAAACTCTATGGCAAAAACCTAAAAACATTCCCCAAACAAAAAACAAAGTGAATTAATAGATTCAGTAGATTACACACCCCCTACTCTTTAAAAAATTTTACCCATCTTTGAACAAACAAATACCTCTGAAGCAGACTTTTGCAGTAGAATGCATTTGACTGGATTCATGTCTGTACTTCAAGGCAGGAAAAATGCCCATCTCACAAAATTCTATGTGTAGTGTGAATTACAGCCTTTAGTCTTCTCCCTACCTGGCTGATATCAGCCATTACTGGATAACTCCGAACTTTTTATCACCCTCCCACCTACATACATGGCTTTTAGTGTGATTCCTTGAGTTTTCCATATTCTCTGTTTTCCCTTTGTGCAAAACCAGGAATATCCACTGGCCTGTGAATTGCCTTTGTTCCAAATCAGGGATTGTTGGTTTGCCTCTCAGGAGAGGCCACTTTAGAGATTTGTGTTCTATTTGTTTTGTCTGAAATTTGTAACCCTGGATATTTCCTCTTGGCCTCTTCTGCATCTCTCTTTACATTCATTCTTTTATTTACTTTAAAATCTGATTTTGTCAAAGGAGTTTGTAACTTTTTTTTAATCATTCTATTTGTTGCTTCTGAATGAAAAAGTGAGAAAATCTTCTTTACTCTATTTAAAAAAAAATAAGTTTGTTGCTTTAAGTGAACTAAAGCTGGACATTTTATTAGGTCGTCAGAAAACTAATGAGGCATTTTTCTTCCTTTCTGTGCAAAAATGTGTCATGACTTTCTAGATGACCCAATAGGTTGGACATTATAGGCTCACTGTATGCAAAAATAAATCAAGGTAGAACGCCAAGCAGTGAAACCATACACAAACCTGAGAGGAAAACACACACAAAAAACAAAGTGACCTTTTTCAAACACTAAAAGTTTAGTGAATAAAAAGTACATTCATTTTTAAACGAGGAATTCAGTACTTGTATGATTCCAAGCTTTAATCCACTTTTTTCAAACTCTCAAAAATCAGTCTATTCAGATTAGATTACAGAGATTATGAAGAAATTTTACAATGAAGGGATTCTCCCATTAATTCTAATTATTAGTCTTTGCATTCATGGTCTCATTTCACAGGTGGCATTACTGAAAGTTAAAACCAGCGAGAAAAAGGAACTATCACTAGTATGAGTTAAGCTTTTAGGTAGAAGGCCTCTAATTTACTGTGCTGTGGGTCAAGTTCCAGGAGGCATCTAGTCCTCACCAGAAGCTGGGACACAGAAAATGAACAATAATGCTCACACACTTTAGTTCCCTCACCTCTCCTCTACCCAAACCTTCCTTGGAACTTGTTGACAGTCATTTTACCTCTAATACAGTCTATGTGTTAGACAATACATATCTCACTACCCAGTATGTTTTCTATACTTGACCAGATTCATACTATGCAAAAGTTCCAAGAGTCAAAGTTTAGGATATGAGCACCTTTCCTTAAACTCTTCACTAAAAATCTACCATTCCTGGAATTTCTTCTGCCTTTATTTCAAATCTTAATTATTCAGTCTTCTTCAGATGTTCCTTTTTTTAATAATTTGGCTGAGGACAGCTAGTTTTGGAAAAATGCCAAACAAGCATTCTTCTTGTGCTCAGTGTCTGTTAATAAGTTATGTAAATATGAAAAACAAATAAGAAATGGACTCTAGCCTGCATTAAAATCCTTTCTCCCTATTTTCCTTATATTAGTAAAGAAATCCATTTACCCATGTCTCAATAAAGAAGGAATTAAAATTAAGATATTACTATAAAATGAAGACATTATTCATGTTAATATAAGGCCATTCTTAGTATTAAATGAGATAATATAAAGTTTTTTTAGCACTGTGCCTTGCATAAAGAAAGGTTCAATAAATATTAGCTTTCCTCAAATTGGTTTATTAAAATAAACTTTGTATTTTAGAAAAGTTTTAAATTGGGACCAGCAGTTAGAGTACTTGACCGCAGTTCGAGTCCCAGACCTGATGGCTTCAACTCACACCGGACGCGTGTGCCTGTATGTCCAAGATCCCAAGAGGAGAATGGAGGAGAAGGGCTTGCGGCGTGGCCATCCCCCTGGGGGGGTGATTTCTCGCTTTCTGTCTCTCTCTGTCTTCCTGGTGAGTGCACGCACCCTATAGAAAAAAAAAAAATTAAAAAAAAGAAAAGTTTTAAATTTATAGACACTATAATGACAGTACAGATAATTTCCTTATATTCCATACCTATTTAGCCTTTATTATCATTTTACAGTACGGTTTATTTTTTATAATTAATGTACTGATATTGATACATAATTATTAGCTAAAATCCATACTACATTCAAATTTCCTTTGTTTTTACCTAATGTCCTTTACCAGTTCTTTCAGTTCTTTTCCATTCTTTCTTTTTTTTTTTTTAAAGGTTTTTGTCATAGGGCATATGCACTCCAGAGAGACAGAAAAAAAGAGATAAACTGTGAAATCACCCTTCAGGGTGGATAGCCATGCTGCAATCTCTTCACTTCCACTTTTCTCCTGGGATTTTGAGTATACACACACACACACACGCGCCCTATGTGAATTTCTTTCCTTTTTTTTTTTTTAAAGAGAGTTTTGCGATAGGGCACGTGCATTTGCCAGAGAGACACAGAGAGAAAGAAAGCAAGAAATTACTCTCCTACTCCCTCCAGTAAGGATGACCACACTACAATCCCTTCTCCTCTCGGGGTTTTGGGCACACATGCACACACTCCTGCTGTGGTTTTAAGCCACCAGGTCCAGGACTCAAACGGTGGTCAGCTACATGGAAGTCCAGCGACATAACCATTATGCCCTCTGCTCGCGATTCTTCAAGCCAGCAGGTCTGGAACTCGAACCCTGGTCAGCCATGTGGAAGTCCAGTGCCTTAAAGACAATGCCACCTCCTGGACAGTTCATTTCTTAAAAACACTGCTATAGGGCATGTGCACCTGCCAGAGTGAAAGAGAGGAAGAAAGGAAGAGCATCACCAATGGGGTGTGGTCACACTATAATCCTCTTTCCTTTATCCCTTCAGGATTCTGGGCACTCACATAAGCAACATACATTTTATTTTTTAACTTTAGATTTTTACCATAGGGTGCAAGCACTTGCAGGAGAGAGACAGAGGGAAAGTGAGAAATCACTCCCTGGGGGGTTGCCATACTGCAATCTCTTTTCCTCCATCCTCTTCTAGGTGTTTTGGGCATGCGTGCACATGTCTAGTGTGCTTCCCAAGCCACTGGGTTTAGGACTCAAACTCCAGAGTCAGTCACATCGGATCCTGTGCCTTAATCACCACACCACCTACTGGCCCCTACATGTTTATTAAGATGCCATAAGCCATGTGGGATCTGACTTCCTGGACATAGTACTTTACCACCACACTATAGGGTTGGCCCCTTTATTCAATTCTTTAATCCCATCAAGACATTACATTGTATGTTGTATTTAGTCCTCTTGGCTTTTGCAGTTTCTCAGAATTGGCTTGTCTTTGATGATTTTGACAGTTTAGAGAAATATTGGTCAGGTATTTTGTAGAATGTCCCTCCACTGGGATTTGTCAGATTTTTTAAAAATCATGATTACTGAGAGAGGAAGACCACAGGAGTAAAGTGGCATGTTCATCACATCTATTTTTTTGGGAGAGGCTTTTGCTATAGGGCGCATGCACTCGCCAGAGAGACAGAGAGTGAGAAATCACCCCCTGGGGGGGATGGCCACGCCGCATTCCCTTCTCCTCCATTCTCCTCTCAGGATCATGGACACACATGCACACGTGCCCAGCATGAGTTTAAGCCACCAGGTCTGGGACTTGAACCTCAGTTGCCTATGTGAAAGTCCAGTGACGTAGCCATTATGCCATCTGCTGGTTCCCCTCACACCTTATTAAGGGTCTATAATAGGAACACAATTTATCACTCTTTTTTTTGGGGGAGGGGGAAGAGATTTTCACTGTAGGGCGCGTGTGCTCGCCAGACAGACAGAGAGAGACATAGAGACAGAAAGCGAGAAATCACCCCCCAGGGGGGATGGTCACGCTGCAATCCCTTCTCCTCCATTCTCCTCTCGGGATCTTGGGCACGCACGCACACGCGCCCGGCGTGAGTTTTAAGCCACCGGGTCCGGGACACGAACCGCGGTCGACTACGTGGGAGTCCAGCGACATAGCCATTACGCTAACTGCTGGTTCCCAATTTATCACTCTTGATGTTGACATTGGCTACCTGGGTGAGATGGTTTTGTCAAGTATCTTCACTGTAAATTTCCTTCATCCTCACCACTTTCCAAACTCTACCCTGGAAAAAAGGTAGTATGCACAACCTATGAATAAAACTATGCTTCATTTTCTGAAGGGTGGAATATCTAAATAAATTATTTCATATTATTTTCATGGGAGATTTGTTTCTTCTTCTCCTTTTAGTTATTTGTTCAATTTTTAAAAATAGATCTACATAAGAGATTCTAGATAAGCAAAGGCAGACCATCATGCAACTTCATGTGGAGTAGGCTAGATGAGTAGAAGAAAGATACTCAGGTTTTCAGAGATTCTTCTCACTTCCTATGTGATCAGAAGATGAGAAACTAATTTAGTTCTCACTACTAGATGGTGGGATTGAAGTTGCTGAAAAACCCTTGGCTACCTCATAACTGGCTCAAGAATTATGGTAGATATGCAGTTGAGACCCCTCAGCTGAAAC